TTGTTTATCATGTTGACATTGCTTACTTGCATTGATGGGTTTTAATGTTAATCATGCAAACATCTTGGAGTTGACTAAAGACAAAATTAATATGATATTCCTTTATAATTTTATTATTGTTATATAGAGCATGTGTTTTCAATGACCTGACATTATCACCACTATTGGTTATGCATTTTTACCAGCAATGATCATTTTATGGGTTGACAGCTGTGCAGACCACCCAGAATATGGCTTGTCTCATGCATTGCTGTCACCACTGCTGAAATGCCATACCCATAACACTATAAAGTATAAAGTGTTTGGTATCAATAAGTGCAATTTTTTTTTTCATGAAGGAATTCAATTATATATACATCAATTTTTATATGCACTATTATGCCTGATTAGAATTTGCTAAAAAATGGGCCACTTGTGATAAGCTTCAAGCTTTATGGCCATAACACAAACCTTTGTCTCTGATGTTGTGGGCTAATAGGTGGCATTACTTTCGGAGTAACATTTGTATGGTTAAATAGTGAGGCAATTATCAGTGATGGGTTTGAAAGATAATCTGATTATAATAATCACTCAATGGGGGCCAGTTAGGGATTGTCTTAGTTTTGAGGATAGTATTAAATAAATTAGCAATCAATTTAGATTTGTTTGTGTCTGTAGCCTGCAGCTGCTGGTTTTTCATGTCTTTGTTCATGTGTATCATTTAATGCCCAGGATATGAGTAAAGTGAATAGGTACTGAAATAGTGTAAACTCCGTTAGCATTGAGACAATGTAGAAAACAATCAGTCAACTGACAGCCATAGAAATGGTGTGATTTTCACTTCCAGTGTCTTATATGCATGTGTTTATTGTTGCTTGGAAATCATCCATGTAAACAGAAACAGACTATTATCACATTCTTGTCCATGTATTGCTTAATATATTGTACAGTAGTAAATATATATACATACATATAATTATTTATTTAAAAATTATAACATAAATATGTTATAAAATCACTACAAAAATAGCCATTTTGTTTCAACACCTTTGGTGTCTTATCAAGTGATGATGTTGAATGTAGATTGTAGAATGGGGGTTTTAAAAGGTTCAAATTAATTAACCACCCCTCGTAAGGGAAAACGCTGTTACATTAGCTGAAATGACCAATCAAAAAACAAGTGTACGAGAATTCGAAAAACTTGACAACGAAGTAAGGTTATAATAATTATTAAATGCTTTAAAGTTGGGTTTATACTAAAATACAATTTATTCTAACTAATAAGTGTTAAATTATATGATAAAATTTGAAATTAAAATTAAAAACTACCCATTTCAAAAATGTAAATTTAATCTATATTAAGTTTAAAATTTTAAAATTATTGAGAGAAAAAAAGAAAAAATACATATGTTATTCTATTCATTTTGTTTCTATTGAAATTATGTTGGAATAAACGTTAAAATCGACTGCCCTTAACTTAATGACAAAATGGATACAAATGTATACATTGGATTATGACTGACATCTTGCGAAAGACAATACAAACACAATCAGATTATAATACATTAGCACGCAGACAAATTTAGATATATACACACACAGACACACACAAAAAAAGTGACAAGACAGGAAATATTTGCACAACCTTTTACAAAAAAAAAAAAATTTAAACCACACACATACACAATGAAATGTGCATGCATTTTACTATACACAGACACCGAAAAAGATACGTACATATAGCCACATATATTGATATAGACACTCTGATATAACACTAAAGAAATATTCAAGATTGAAGGTGTTATTAAACAAATTCTAACCACATATTAAAATATAACTTATACGGGCCAATAACAAACAATAGGTAAAGAAAGGATATTAAAATAGATATATATAAAAATAACACAATGTAATATATAAAAAACGAAAATTCCAAACACACATATACACCTAATTGTACATTAGGTGAAAGAAAATAAAAACTACCTACAAATATATGTGTAGAGTGTACAACCATTCATCACTACAGACAGAAGTGCAGAAAAGCCAACCTATAGACAAACATATAGACACATATATACATATACACGCATACACACATATATATCTACACATATACACACATACACATATGCATATATACACATACAGAAGCCAGCATAAATATATCAACCTACACAGCAACTTAAAAAAGTAGACAAACCAATTATAAATATATATACATACATACACATACATACATATACACACACATACATACATACATATATATATATGTATATCTACACATACATAAATATATGTATGTATATATATACATATATAATCTTAAACATGCATATATACAAATATACAAATACATGCATATATATATATATATATATATATATATATATATATAAAGATAAAACAAAAACAAAAAACAAAGACTTAAACATACCTATATATATACATATATACACACATACATATCCATATACACACACACATAAATAGGTATATACATACATAAACCTACACATATTCTAACAATATCATCCTATTGACAATAAATTACAGTAGCGTCCATAATAATTTAAAAATATAACAAGACACAATTGTTGATTAAGTCTATAAGCAATTAACAAACCCTTATTAAACAAAAGTAAATTTTAGTTAGTATAGATGATACATTCCCAGACACCAAGGTATACATACATATACATATACGAAGAAATACGAACATACTTTCACATATACAAATATATGATCATGCATAAATACCCATATAACACATCCACATATGCACAGATGTAAGTATGCACACATCCAAGCACACATATATATATATATATATATATACATATATGCATACACACATATACATACACATACAAATACAACAATATATACATGTACATGTATACACACATATATATATATACATACGCACCTGTAGATACGAATCAAAGTTTGCATACTTACACCTACACATAAACAAGCTATCATATGATAGGTGTTTATACACACACAAACACATACACATATTTATACATACATAAACATACCTATATTTACAAGTACATATATACGCTCATACACAAAAACACATACATACTCAACTATATACAGACATATACATACATACATAAACATATATACACACATATATATATATATATACATGTATCCCTACATACATACATAAACATATCCGTACATAAAAAAATAAACGTAAATAGAAATATATACGTAAATAGAAATATATATACACAATACATTTGGACATATATATATACGTATATTTTATCCTCCTCTACTTTTCTCCTCTTTTTTACCTCTTTACTTTTAATATATATATATAAGGAAAAAACCCTACTTACATATCCAGCAGTACAAAAACACACACGCATACAGACATGAACAACACAGTATATCTAAACTAACACACACCCATGTCAACAGGAGGACCATCAGGTAATAAAAATAATAATCTATTAAATTTACAATGACATATCTTATCATTGAAAGTATTACAACCCTTATAATAAGTTAAATTTACAATTAACTGTTAGTTCATATCTTTGATTTAAGAGATGGGTCTTATTTTTAAATCTAATTATTTCAAATTTTTTGTTAAGACAAAGATAACATGGGGTATATAGGGAGTTAGTTGTCCGGGCTTTCCTGATTAATTTCCATTTAACTGTAGGTATTTTATTCTTTTCTTTTAGGCTCCAAAAATACTTGGATAATGAAGTCATGTACTTATAATTACAGTTATTAAAAGATTGCATATGCCACTGCCAACGTTCCTTGAATGGATTCATGGTACTACCAATGTAGATTTTTTTTTATTTGGGTTTTCTAGTCTAGAGATTGTACTAAGATAAACTACAGAACTAGTCAAACAATTATTTTGTAGTGGACAATTATTTGGATTCCAGAATTGTAAAAATCGTGATGTTTATTGAAAACATCTTTGTTAGAAGAGTTAGTACTAATCCTAAATCCAATGGAGGAGGGTATGTGTTTGATAACTGAAGGGGGATGGTTGGAATTTGGATGCACATATACTGGGTTGGAATTAACCTTCACACATGGTTGGAAAGTGTTGCTAGTGAGGTCTAGAGTGACGTCCAGAAAATCTACTTCTTTAACGTTAGTTGTAACTATAGTTCTAAGACCTAAATCTTTAGATATCCTATGAATCATTTTCCTAATACGGTCCACCTTAATTTTAGTAGAGTTTTTAACATATATATATATATATATATATATATATATATATATTAAATAGATTACATATGATCTTGCACTTCTGCAGTTTATTTAAATATTTTTTGATAAAGTACAAAGAATCTGCAATGTTATTGGTCTTGACTTGGCATCTTGGCTTCAGTCACATTCCCACCATTGTAACATGGCTTCCTTGTGCTTTTTCTATAAATATTTGATAATTGTTCTGATGAACTTTTCGCTATGTTACCTAGACTTTATGAGTTTAAGTACAGTACTAGATTGGTGGCTAGGTTTCCTCATTTTACAGTTGAAATGACTATAGATATAGCTGTAAGTTCTATGCTAACAGTTTTTTTTCTCTCACTTGTGGAACTCTTGTCTGACTTCTTGCTTCCCAGTCAACTTTGATTTTCAGAAATTTAAATGCAATGTCAATTGCTATCTTCTGTCTTCCTAATTCCTGTTCTTTTATTGTTCCCCCTCCTTAATAATGTTTTTCTTCTTTTTTTTCTCTCATTCTCTCACATTAACCCTTTTTGGTTTTATTGCCTTGCTTGGGGTGAACTGATTAAAAAAAAATGTATAATGATAAAAAGCAAGTTATTTTGGAAAATTTCTATATGTATACATTTAATGATGTTATTATTATTATTATTAGATTGCCTTGTTTTTGCTTAAATTAAATAAAAAGAAAGAGAACAATTATCAAGTGTCTTGTGGTGAGTTTGATGCAGTTAGTAATTACTGCATAGAATGAAGCCAGCATGTGTGCTAATGGTAGCTATGATTCTATTTAGATTGACTCACAGATAACTGAAGAAAAAGAAGTCAAATCAGACATTGAGTCTGTTGGTAGTGATGACCACCAAGCTGTTGGTGGTATTACAACACCTTCTCCTCCATCACAGGTAAAACTATCTGCAGCTAAGCCCACTTCTGGATAGATTGATTCAGATAAAAAGCAGCAACACATCATGATGATGTAGCGGTTAATTCATTATAGATATATATATAAAAATATACATACTATCATGAACACACACACACGCATCTTACATTCATAAACATGTACACATATACATACATAATATTATATGCAAATTTATATATAAGACAAACAGTGGGTAAGTGAATGCCAAAATGGGAAAAATTTTGAAGTGACAGGTTTCATTCTGAGAAGAAGCTTCTTCAGATGAATTAATGGTTTTATTAATGGCATCAGTCTCATAAAGGGATGAAGAAATGAAACAAACATTAGTTACAATTTTACATTAAAAATGTTAACGATACAGGGTAGCTTAGCTTTGAATTTAAATTTTTGGCATCTAGTTAGTGTATCTAAAATTCCAAGCTAAGCATCCTTGCATTTTGATGTGAAATTGTAACCAGCATTTGCTGTATTTCCTTTTCTCTCACACCTGAAGAAGTTCCTACTCAGGCCAGAGCCATGTTAATTTGGAGTTTTTCCCATTTTGTCATTTGATTACCCACTTATATATATATATATATAATGTTTGTTTAAATGTTTTGTTAGGCAAAATACAACAATTTTAATATTTTTCTCTAATTGATAGCTTAATTTCCATTATGAAGGGACTGTGTACAGGAGAAATCTATTTAGGAAATATTTAAGAACTAACCCATATTCACATGACATTGATTATATTCAAGGATTAGAAATTAACAGGTTTAACATTATGCTACAAAGTCATCACTTTAATTCTGGACGATGGTGGAAGTTAGTTGAAAGCTTGAAATATTTAATAAACAGACAAACTGTGGCCAGTTCCTTTATAATTTCAGTTCTAACTTACAGAAATTAATCCATCTTTTAGTGAAAAATATCTTAAAAAATATAATAAGTATAATTTATCTATTTTATTAACCCTCTGTTAGTACTGTGGTGTGTTAGAATGCCATCTCTCCCAATGCTTTTCATTAATATTGAGCAAGTGGCAAGTCAAGTCTTTGTCGTTAGCTTTCGTGCATAGCTCTCAAATAACAATAAGGAGTTTCTGGTTTTAGTCACAATATTTGTTTGAATTACAAGCAAGTTTTTTTTAAAAAAAATATTTATCTTATAAAAACCAGTATGAACACTGAAAACAGTATATAGCAAGAAAATTAAGAACTAAATCATAGATATATATATTAAATGGCTTGTTTGAAAAACACCACAGTACTGAGAGAGGGTTTAACAAAACATTATATATAAATTTGATCATGTCTGTGCTCTTACATATAAAAATAAATCTCCATATATGGAATTAATTGCTACTTCATTTTTTAGCTTTTTATGGACCCTGTCTCTTCCTTACTTTTCACTTACCTTTTCTCCAGATATGAGCTTTTAATGTGCATGGCTTTTTATAGTGTTATTTCTATTTGACACCAGTTGTGAATAAGCAGTGGAAAAGGCATCTTATCTTCAAGTCACATTTTAAGTTTGCTTATAAGTGTAAATGTTTTGCTGTATTTCATGTGTCACCTATTTTCATTGAATTGTAAGCTTACAATAATGTATATATTTTTGCTTTGTATTTGGTGATGGTATTCCTCATGTGAGAGCTAATTGGTGATTTTGCATTTGTGGGTTAGAATCCCTGCCCTCTGCTACAATTTTTTGTTTAAAAAAAAAAGGATATATTAGTTCCTGCTGTGAATACTTACTAAAATTATTTAGATTAATTTCGGTCTATTTTATAAAGGCATACAGTTTATTCAGGCCCAATACCAAAAGGTTGCTTGCTACCCACTTGAAAATCATACTCTCCGCATATTAAAATGATGTGAAAAACAAAATACTGTGGACTTAATGTCTGCCCCTCTTGCCTCAAAACACTGGTAATTGTCCTGAATTTATTTGAAATGTAATTTTGAATATTGCTATTTTACAAACCAGATATAAAAGCCACTTTGTATTTTGAAATATTTAATTATTTATTTAAAAGCATTTATTGCTTTTAATAATTAATGTATGCTGCCATTTAAAATAGAAATAAAAGACTAATTTGTTTATTTTAGCTGTTATAAAATTATAAGGTGCAGAAAGCTTCTCATTTCAGATCACTTAATATTTTTTTTACTGTTCTGGAAAGGCTAAGAACTTTTCAACCCTTCTATTATCAGTTAATATTAAGCAGATTAACTTTTAATTACTTTTCTACATTTTGGATGCCAAGCATATAAATTATTAGATACCAAATATAAAAAAATTCAAAGCAAGAAAAAGTTTGATTTTTTTTCTTTTCAGCTACTTATTTATTTAAAAAAATACGGCTCCATTGTATTGTCTATTTTGTATTTATTTATTTTTCAGAAGCTTGTATATCATTTTGTCCGATTTGTTTTTAGGTAGAATGAGTTTTATTTAGACTAAAATTTTTGTCTGTGCTTTTGTTAGACTTTCAACATTTCTTCAGGCAAGTAGAACCTCTTGTCAACATTTTAACCATTTTCAATTAACCATGCCATGTTGTGAATGGCATTTTAATTTGAAGTTTTTATCTTACTAAAATGGGATATATATCAGTAAACAAAACAAAGACATAAATGGCTACAATGATTAGGTAAAAAAAAAAAGAAGAAAAATATAATTTTTTTGATAGTGTGAATCAACAATGCAGTAGTTGGTCAGAAGATCATGTAGAGGAGTGAAACTGACAAGCCCCAAGCAGTGTTGATTCCTCAGTCAACACTGTTCAGCCCATCAAATTTTAACTATATCTGAAAGGTGAGAAAAGAATTTGGGCATTAGCATGAGTTAGATGCTATAGTCTGGCTGGAAACTGAATTCAGATTCCATTTTCCAGGATGGTTATATCACCAGTGGCCCCCTTCACTCATACATATATAAAGGGATACTGTAAAGTTCTTGGCCTCCACCTGTGACCAACAAAAAAAAAAATGAGAGAAATGACTATTTGCTGAATGTTTCAAAGCAGATGAGAAATAACATTTACACTTCACATTTCATGAACATTGATCAGCCAAGAACTGTTTATATCCTTGTCTGTGTATATTTAAAATCTGATATATTTATCGTAGAAGAGAACTGAACATCAGAGCTAGAGCATTTATAAATATAAACATTGTAGACATTGGAATCACCACTGCATGGTGACTGTCAGTTTCATTACCTCAGTGCAGTTGAAGCATGAAAACTGAGGGTCACTATGTAGTATTGATTCCTATGTCTACACTGTCTATATCTATAAATACTCCGGCTCTAAAAACCATATTGTGCATGTATGAAAGTCATAATTTTCAGAATAATATGTATGTATGGGGATTTTCTAAGCGTAACTTAGATGTGGCACAAGGCCAATAGTTTGGGGCATCCAGTGAGGATTGAACTTGTTACTCAGTCATAACTCTTCTAGCAAGACAAGCTTGCTAACCATTACACCACCTTGAAGTCCACCAATATGTATGTATGTATGTTATCTCTGTAGATTCCCAGTAGAGCATAGGGCCACAGCCTCACTGCATTAGGTGTTGCTCCTGTAGTTTCACATGGGGTGGAAATGCTAAGCACACACTTAACTTGTCCTTCTTTTAGGCTGTTTGCCAAAGCCCTGTCTATTTTGCTATTCACCATTAGCTGGGGGAGGAAGAGATGGATTCATACGTTTCCAACAGTATTTGTGCAAAAGTGGATGAAATGGCCTTAGCTAGAATTGCAATTCAACATGCTAAACTCACTTTATGTGTTAATAACATTGTACTATGCACAAATCCATATAGCTCATTCTTTGAAATTTCTTTGTTTTGTTTTATAGGAGTAGCTAGGCAGGTCTATACTCCTCCCTCTTCTCTTGAACAGGAGCAGAGGATCATCCCTTGTTTCATGTTTAGGAAGGTGTTCCCAATTCCTTTCCTTTACTCAGGCCTTAATAGTGGTGCTGTCATGAAATTTTTGTGATATACATAGATGGTGGCAACATCTCTTCATGCTGAGGGTACCAGGTTGGCGGTTTTCTGGTTGCTGTTCCCAACTGGTAGTTAGGAATCTGAACTCTTGCATAGTGACTTGAGAGGCTGCTCTGATCAACTTTCATAATATCGGGGTTCTTGCAGTGCTATGTATGCATGGAAGGGTGTCCCTGCAAGCACCTCCGGTGGGCAACCCTGAGGCCACACTATGTTGCAGTTTGCACCAGTTCCCTTCCTGCACATGTTACATTAGATGACAGACTGCTACTACTATTCTAGGCCTTTCCTTACCAATATAACACACCATGACTATAAACAACCAAAGATATAAACCTAAACCAGCTCAACAAAAAATATCTAAACCCCTCAACCTTTCTTTCTCCAACATTTATAATATTCATACCAACTTCTGCATTGTAGAATTGTTCCTCTTCAGAAAGTTTCTGGACATTCTAGCTCTCTGCAAAACTAATCTTAACTCTTCAATCACCTCCTCTGATTTCTCGATTCTTGGCTACCTTCCTCTCCTTAGAAAGGACTCTAACGTCCACATGCCTGGCCTAGAAGTTTATGTCCATGAACATCTCCTGCTGGCTAGTGAACTCTCTCTTGAATCTCCAGACCATTCTTACATGTGTCTTCATCTCTCTCTACTTAACTCAGTCAGCTATCTCTTCTTTCTCTACTGTTCCGTGCTAGATAGTATTTCTAATAATATAGACAAGGTCATCTCCCTTACACCCATTTGCAAATATATTTGTGTTTAGTGACTTTAATGTCCACCATACCAGGTGACTCTGTTACTGACCTCACTGGCATCCAAACATTTAACTTCTCAATCACTTACACAAGTGATTGACTTCCCTACACATTTCCCCAGTAACTCTGATGGACACTCTTCTCTTCTAGATCTCTTTTTTACATCTATCCCTGACTCTTGTTGTCCTACACAGCTCTGCTCTTTTGGCAACTC